TTCTCACCTACTCCCAATTCAGCCTGGTCCTTGCCTTGTCCATGCAGACCAAGAAGGAATCAATGAACTCCTATGGAGCACTGTGGTCCAGTGTTTACCAGTGCATCTTAGTGGACTCAAGGATAAAATCTTCCCATTCTTGAATGTTCCTGTACAAGCGAGTGTGAGGGCCAGGAAAGTGCTGCAGGATGCTCAAGAGAAGTTTAGACACTTAGGGAGAGGCAGGAAAGACCCCACAACCTGTCCTACCCTCTCTGGGATGGTCCTGGAGGCACAGGGCTGCTTCTGGGGATTTTGAGCTTGTGCACTGCACAAAACAGCAATATATCAAGGGTACCTTGTAAACTTGGAGAATATACCTCCCAGGTGAGAATGTCACACACACACACACACACACACACACACACAGGGCTACATGCACAGCCACAGTCACCCTTCCATTGGAGAAGCTTCATTCCTAATCACCTCTTTTTTGGATATCGTATTCCTCACTTAGCATCTTATGTGGAGAGTGCAGGGGGTAAAGTTGTAGGGTTGGTGACATGTGTACCTCAGAGTGTAAGGACATGTATGTGAGAGAGAGTGGTTAAAGGCATATGTGCAATGTGCCTGAAACCAGGACACGGAGAGCTCACAGGGCTCTACAATAGTGAGCAGTGTGAACAGAATTTTTCCTGAAGAAGGAACATCAGTTTCTATTTCCTTTGCAAAGTCACCAGTCCCTTCCCAGATTCACCTACCCCAGTTCCTGAGCCACTGTGGAATCTTTGAGCTCACCTGGCTGTAGAAACTGCTAAAGATAGTAAAGGAATCCTTCAATATACTTAGCAGCCATAGGAATTTGGAGTCCTGGTAAGTAAAGCACTCACTAAAGATAATGCAGCAGATACCGGCTGTGATGGTGTGAAAAGAGGAGGGTTGGGCCAGAAAAGCCTCTTGAGGACAAGAAGCCCATTGTGGAGATCTGGATGTTCCCTGCCTTGTCCTTCTGGATGACTCTCATCCAGCCAGTACTCTCTTTGCTGTGCAGATGGTTTATCTGTCCCTTGGCCTGCCCATCTCTCACTGGGCCTTTGAGTCTAAGCTGATCCATCTGCACATCTCCCTCACTGTGTTTCCTGTTCTTTTGGTTTCTTCTGTCTTGGTCTGACTTTTTTTGTATCTCTTTCTCTAGTCATCTCTCCAACTCTTTTTATGAGAATGTCCCTTCTCTCTCCATGCCCCTATCTGTCTTTTGTCCCACTTGTATCACACCTGACTCTATCTTTTTACTGCTAAGTCTTTCTGGGAGCTTTCATTTCTACATCTTTGTGTGCTCAACTTTTCCCTGTCTTGCTTTCTATATACCTCCACTCTCTCTCTGCTCTACATGTACCTCATTCCTTTTTTCAGTCTCCATCTCCTTCTCTCCCTGAGCTTAGTTCTGCATCTCTCTGACTCTGCCTCTTCATTTCTATCAGTAATGCTCTTCCTCTCTATATTCTCATCTGGCTAAACCCCTGGCCAGAACCCAGAGCTCACCCTGGGATTTCTGCAGCTGTTCCACCAGTGAGCCTCCTTCTTGATTCATTTCTCCATGCTCTGCTTTCCCATCCCCAAATCCTTCCACATGGTCAGACAGAACTATCAGAAGACTTTCCAAGGCTTTCCATTGGTGAAGGTCACACCTGATTGGAGCAGCGTGGAGGGAAGGCTGGGGGGACTCTAGTGATCATCCCTTCTTCCCCCAACTGTGCCCCACCCAAGGCCCACTTACCTATTCCCTGGAAGTTGGGATCAGTGATGCTGATGAGACCTTGCCCAAAGAAAGGCTCAGCATTATCCACCAGGGCCTCCTGCATCATCTTGTATCCACATGGGATACAAGATGGGCTTGGACCCCAGATAGACTGTGAATATGTCCCCATATTTCTCTCACAGTTGTGGAAGGAGGGTAAAGATCTCATCATCTGACCCAAGACAAATCCTTCACCCCCCCACCTGGATTACATGCCCAAATGTGGCCTGAGCCCCACATGTAGAGATGAACCAGAGTTTGAACCCTGTGGAGTCATCCAAGCTTCATCAGTAAACCATTCTCCAAGTGTCCATACATCTCGACTTGTCCAAGAACCCTTCTTGGCTTTGATTATATGAAGTGCAGACTCCCCACACAATTTCTAAGACCTCTCCTTCCCCAACCCCAGTACCATGGCTCAAAGCCACATGTCTATCAGGAATTCTCCATGAAGTCTACCTTCCCTCCATTCATTCTCATAGGAATTCCAGAAGCTTCTCTAAGTGGCCAAAACCTGACTGGAAGGAGAGAATTCCCAAGCTGGTCTAGAAAGTCTGAACCATGGTGGACCCATCACTGCCTTGCTGCCTGTGAGCTCTACTTCCTTTTCTTCAACTTCCTGTCTCCTCTCCTTTTCCCCTCTCCAACTCACCAACTCAAAGGACTTGAGAAAGCCTTTGGGGTCTATTTGCAAAATGTTCCTAAGGAAAGGCAGAGGTTGGGGTCCAGGATGGATGTGGCCCTTGGATTTGGAGTGGCCTCAGACCCAGAGTAGAAAGAAGCCAATGAGGATGGTGAACAGGAAGAAGCCAGATAGCAACATAGTCCTTTCTCTGCCTGTTCTTCTGTCTCTCTTAAAGGCAGGCTGCTGTTTGTTGCTTTATTTCTGTGAAGGAGGGTGTACCAGAAATCTACCTTGGCAGAGTTCCTACCAACACTTTACATACCATAGCGAGACCAATATGGCTGACAGTGCAGAGACCAGAATCTTAGCACCTCATTGTTGAGTCCAGCTTCCTGCTGATCCCTGACTGGCTGAAGATAATTTCATAAGCAATTATCATAAATGAGCAAGTATTCCTTCAATTAGGCCAAACAATGGGATGTATGGAGCCATTGTGAGATTGGCTCTCAGCCAGCTTTGTCAGAGATGACATTACAGCATAAGATTAAGGTATGTTGACAGGGAGAATTGGGGCCATCCTGTGTCCTTTTGGAATAGAAATTTATTTTGAGCATCAGATGAAAGTGAGATATGGAGATGCAGAAGGCAAGATGGTCGGATGGAAGAAGTCAATCTCCATTTTGGGTTGATTGAAGAGGTGGCTTATGTAGACATTCATTTGTTTATTGGTTTATTCCTCAGCATATATTTTGAACACCTGTCATAGTTCACACAATTATTCAGGCACTGACAGCACAGCAGTGAGCAATATAACAGTTTTAACTTTCACAGAACTGTCATTGAGATAAGGGAGAAGTTCTCATCAAAAGTCCTTCTGGCCAGGTAACGGTGGCCCACACCTATTATCCGGGGAGGCTGAGCTCAGGAACATCAAGGTTCAAAGTCAGCCCAGGCAAATAATTCATGAGACTCCATTTCCAAAATAACCAGAGAAAAATGGACTGGAGGTGTGGCTCAAGTGGTAGAGTGCCTTTTTGCAAGTGCAAAGCCCTAAGTTCAAACCCCACTACCACTAAAGGACAAAAGAGTTCTTCTGAAAAGATTCCTAAGGAACTGATAAGCAATAGGTTGAATGCAATGTGGCACGTATCAACTGCTGACCCAGGGAAGTCAGGCTTTGATGTTTACTTGATTCTCAGAACATTTAAGTCCAGGTAAGGGGATTCACACCTGTAATTCTAGTTTCTTCAGAGGAAGAGACTGGAAAGATTGAGATTCAAGGTCAGCTTGGGCAAAAAAGTGAGAGATACCACATCTCAATCCACAAAAAGCTGGGTGTGGTGTCACACACCTGTCATCCCAGCTACATGAGAAGTGTAAATAGGAGATGGAAGACTAAACCTCCCTGGAAATAAATGCAAGACCCTATCTGAAAAATAACTAAGGCAAAAAAGGACTGGGGGCATTGTTCAATTGGTGTAGCACTTGGAAGGCCCTGAGTTCAAAACTCAGTACTGCCAAAAAAAAATAATAAAAGGGGAATCGGGTAATCCAAGTATCCAAGGTGCTAGTATAGAATCACACAGATTAGAGGCTTTGACTGAGGACCCCTTGGCATAGAGAAAAGAAGCAGGGAGGGGTGCTAAGAATGTGAGTGAGACAGTGTGCAACCACAGTCTGTGACATAAAGGAATCTCGAAAGAACTGTGTGAAATAAAAGACATCAGACACAAAAGATCATATACTGTAAGACCCCATTTATATGACAAATCCAGAAGAGGCAGGTCTATAGACACCACATTGGTGCTTTCATGGCCTGGGAGGGAGTGGAATAGGAATGGGGATTACCTACTTCATAGGTACAGGGTTTCTTTTGAGGGGTGACAAAAGTATAAAAACATTATGAAAGAACTGAATGACTGACTTGTACACTTTGAAAAGGTCAATTTCATGTTGTGGGAATCTAGCCTTAATTTAAATGCATTGATCGATGTCATTAGGGAAGTGTTTGGGTTCTAAAGTCAGAATGTGACAGTGCTCCTCCACTCACTAGCAGTGTGACTTCAGGCAACTGGTGTCAATGTCTGGCCTCCACTACTCATCTATAAAAGGGGAAGGATCAGTGTACCCACTACATGGGGCTACTGAGGGGAGGAGTCACGAGAAATCATACCATAGCCCTTTAGCATATGTCACAGAGCACAAGGAGCTGATAAATGGGAACTGTGGTTGTTCTAAACAAGACAGAAGACACTCAGCATAAGCTGGGACGCACAACTGCAGATGGGCCTTGAGTCAACTTTCCTCTTTCAGTCCCCAGTTTCTATATAAACACCAAGAAAAGGGAATCATTGTCCCTGAGATTTCTTCTAGCTTCTGCAGTTCTATTAACAGGAGAAGAAACACATCTTAGAGCTTTCAAGAACTGTAGCATGATGAGACTCTAAAAAGGACACTGCCATGGTAAGCAACCGAGGAAGAGAAGGATACTGTTTTACAGTATGTCTTGCTGAGGTGAAGGGAGTCAGAACCCATTCCCTACTGAGGTGGAGACACTTATTGACTGTGAAATCCTTTGGCCCTCTTCTCTTGCCCCATTCAGAGGGGTAAGAAGCAGATCTGGTAAGTGGGAGGTACTCTGCCCAAACCATTCTCTCGGGGTGTGAGATCGATGTCCTTAGGGGCCACGGGGCTGGCCAAGGAGAAATTCTGGAGGATGGTGGTGAAGAAAAGGAACAACTCATTGCGGGCAATGCCTTCACCAAGACAAATGCGCTTCCCTGTGGGAACAAAGGATCAGCCATGTGGGCACTGGGACAGCACAATGTCTGCCCAGTCTCATTCTTTAGACACCTGTGTCCATTTGCAATAGATGTTCATGGACTTGGCCTTTAACCTGCAATCCAAGGTACTGTTTTAGGGAGTTCCCAAATCCTCTGAAACTGGGTGCAAAACTTTAGATGGCTGACCCATATTCATTCTTCTAAGACAGGGTTTGTAACTTTTGTTATATTTCCCAAGGATTCAGTAGCCCCCATAGGAGATCAGGACCCACTTGTGGATGGATGGAGGGTGTGTACGTAAGTATGCACACATTCCTTACTTAATGTTCTTAATACTCTTCATTCTCATGTGAAGAATATGACATCCATCCATGGGGCTGTTGTGACGGTAAAGTTTATATTTGTAGAAACTCTTAAATTAACCTTATATACACCAGGCATAGTGGTGCACACCTGTAATCTCAGCACTTGTGAGGCTGAGGCAGGAAGACTGAAAGTTTGAGGCTAGCCTGGGTTGCATAGCAAGAACCTTTCTTAAAAAAATCTTACACATGTAGATTGTTTGTTTCTGGGAGTGTGTGGAGGTGGTATTTCTGGCATTGCATATGTGATGCTCTTTGGATTGTCTTCTGGCCATTGCTTGAGATCTGTGAGCTTCAAGAATTCCCTCCTCCCCTGCATACCCCCACCCCAGGCATGATGGTGAAAGCCTACTCAGAAGGTGGATGTAGGAGAATAAATGTCCACTGTGTCCCCAGTCAATGTACAACACCCTATATAAAACATAAACTAAAAAAAGCAAAAGAATGGGGCATGGCTCAAATGACAGTACACTTGCTTAGCAAGCATGAGACCCTGAGTTCAATCCCCAGCATAGCATCAAAAAATCTCTCCCCAAAAAATGTTCTTAAAATTATGAATAAAACTGAAGCACTTGTAGAGGGGGGTCTATGACTCCCACCAGATTCTCAGCGCTATAAAGAAAACATTTACGTTCATAAACCATGGACTTGGAGCAGAACGAGAACAAAGGGAGGCTGAAAGTTTTGGTACTTCTTAATCTGCCAATTGGCAACCTGAGAAGGCCAGCTCCAGATGGGTTCCAGGCATCCCTGCATTTTTCAGGTTTTTGGAAAACTGTACCTCCATGGGGAAGAGTAAACATCCTTTTGGCATCTACAGTAGTCAGGAGACAGGAGATCAGTAGGGTTTTTCTGAAACTGCTTCTGTGACCCAGATTTTCCCAGGACAGCCTGATGCCCGCTGTTTCTCTCTCAACACACCCTTCCCATCCTGGGATGTCTGCTTAGATGTCCTTTGATAGTTTCTTGGCACTAACAGACTTTTGGTTCAGTCTGTCTCTTGGCCCTGGGGAATCTGCTTCTGCCTTTGTCTATACCTGTCAAACACTGTTTTTTTTGTCTATTTTTCTTTTCATCTTCGTTTCTACTAAAGATACCTTTTCATTAGTCCTCCTTTCTCTTCCTCCTTCTCCTCTTTCTCCTCCTCTCTTCTTACTCTTCCTCTTACTTATTCTTATTCCTTTCTCACTGCTTCTATTGCTTCAAGTTCATTGTCTGTCTACTATAAACATCTCTTTCTGTCATGATCTCCCTGTCTCAATCTCCCTGTGTCTCTCTTTATCTACCTACTGCATTCTTATCATCTCTGTATTGCTAATTTGTCTGTTTCTGTTCTTATTTCTCTATATCTCTACCTCTATGTAAACTTGGGATAGGACGACTCAATGGAGAAATTGACCACATCCCACTGCCTACCGGTTTCCTACTCTCAAAGAAGAGGAAATGAGGGAGGAGGATATTGCATGGGACAGAGGAAGGGGCAGGGTCAGACCCCTGAGTCACTGAAGTCACAGGGTGAAACTCAAGCATAAGGACTTGTTTTGGGGGCCTTCTTTCTTCCCAAAGGAAATCTGAACATTGGGCTTTTACATGGATAAAGCCCATTTCATTTAACATTGAAGTTTGTATTTAAATTTGACCTAAAGATGCCTCTGTACATAGCAACTGTAAGCTCATATGTAAACAAATGAAAACTAATTTGAGATTATATTCTTCTAACAATTAACCAAGTCTCAGCAATCATTAACAGTCAGTGTTAGCCAATCCAAGGCTATAGACTATTCAGACACATCCAAATAAGGCAAAAGGGGACCTGTAACTAATTGCACAGTTTCTGTGTGTCCATTTCCTTCTGTCTATAAACCTGCCTGCCCACTTCCCTGGTGATGGTCTCTGAATCTTTACTGTTCAGGATATTGTCCAATTCAGGAATGTTTGCTCAAAAAAATCTATAAAATTTAATTTGTCTAATTTTATTTTTCTTTTAACAAATCAGAGTGGTGAGTGGGAACAAGGACAAGCCTGTCAAGGCATGCCTCAACTCACCAGTGCTCAAGGGTTAATACAAACTCATCCCTCAGCCTTCAAGGCCCTGCCCAGCTAAGCTCTTCACTCACGTTCCCAGGCCTTATCTTCACCAAGAGCTTCCTACAGCTTCTCAAATGTGGCATTGCCCTGGCTTTCCTCTACCTGGAAAACACTGTCCAGTGACTGATCAATACTCTCCCATATGACCTCAGCTTAGAAACCAGTTTCCCATGCAAGCTTTTCCTCTCCCATTGAGACAGGAAATTATTTTGTTACACAATTGCCGCTTGTGGATATTTTTTGGGTGGTTTTGGTGTTTGAACTCAGGGCTTCAAACTTGCAAGGCAAGCACCCTACCACTTGAGCCACTCCACCAGCCTTTTTGTGTTGGATGTTTTTGAGATAGGGTCCCAAGAACTATTTGCCCAGGGCTAGCTTTGAACTTTCATTCTCCAGATCTCTGCCTCCTGAGTAGCCAGGATTACAGGCTTGAGCAACAGGCACTCAGCTTCCTGGAGGATACTGCTTTGTGCCAGGTAGTCCTAAACACTGGGAAGGCATCAAATTATTTAATTAGATTATTGTTGTTTGACTATTTTGTGAATGTCAACATCCCACTCCTGGGGTAGAAACAGTGTCTCTGTGTGATTTGTTTGAGACATTATCATCAGCCTCCAATAGAGATGGCTGTCCTGTGCTTTATAAACTGGTATAAGAAACCAGGAGTTTCTTATACCTCTGAGGATCTGGTGGGAGCCATAGACCATTCTGCATGTGCATGGTCCTATTGACAATTTGAGGAACATTGTTGGGGCTGAAAAAAAATGCTCACAGATGTGTTTTGGTTATTGCTTTTTTAAAAAATGTATTTCCTCAGATTTAGAGATTTTTTTAATATTTGGTCCTGCTTACCATCATGGTCTTTAAGACATAATCTCTCTTTTCAAGGCTTCTGTAAGTTGTAGTGAAGATGGCTGGGATACCTCAGGTAAAGCAGTTGGGATATGTTAATTGCCCAATAAACAAGCACCTGTTATTATCTGTCTCAAAGAGAGGATGGGACCTGGTGTCTGGGAAAGGAATCGAGGGTCCTGCTTACCTATGGAAAAAGGAATAAAAGCATCATTCTTCTTAAATGCACCATTGGCATCCAGAAAGTGTTCAGGGTTGAAGTCATCTGGTTTTTCAAAGTACTGTGGGTCATGGAGAGCAGAACTCAGGATGGGGTAAACTTCAGTGTTCTGGGGAAAAGTTACAAGATCAAAAGACATTGCCATTCTCTGGCCTCCACATGCAAAAAAATAAATGACAGATAAAGTGAAACAAGTGCAAGGGGGCCTACTGAATAACCAACAGCAGGTTGATATTGAGTTTTAAGAAAACTGCAACCCATGTATGAAAATGGAAAAATGATACCTGTTGAAATTCTTCCAGGAATGGGGAGAGGAGGAATAAAGAATGATGGAGGGGTGAATTTAACTATGATATATTGTAAGAACCTTTGTAAATGTACCTTCCACTATGATAATAAAAATGTTTTTAAAACAAGAATATTAAGTGTAATGAATTGAAATATATCCAATATGTTTAAATCCTCATGATCATAATGACACTACTGAAATTATTGACACTTTTTGTAAGATGGTAAAGAATCAGGTCATTATTTTGAAAACTGTCATAGAAAGAACTATTTATCCTAACTTTGCCAAATGAACTTTGTTACACTTCTGGGCAACCAAAATCTGGGATTATGGTAAATATTTGTTTTTATTATTATTGTTGTGCTGAGGGTACACTTGACATTTACAAAAGTTCAACCAGTAGCTTAACCAATAGCTGAGCATGGTGATGTACACCTGTCATCTCAGCTGTGGCAAGAAACTTAGAATAGGAGGATCGTGGTCCATGCCAGCCAGGACAAAAAGCAAGACCTTATTTCCAAAATAACCAGAGTAAAAAGGGCTGGAGGTGTGGCTCAAACAGTAGAGCTCCAATCTAGTAAGTAAAAAGTCCTGAGTTCAAATCCTTGTATCACCCAAAAAAGAAGGAAAAAAAACTGAGATGAGGATTCCCACACAGAGAAGTGGGAGCTAGCTGGTCTCACCTTGGGGATGATGTGCCCTCGGAATGCAGTGTCTTGGATGACCATGTGTGGCACACCAATAGGGAGGAGATCTGAAAATCTCTGAATCTCATGGATAACTGCTTCAGTGTATGGCATTTTGTTGCGGTCATCAAGAGCTGGTGGGCGATGTGAGCCAATTACTTCCTTGATCTCCTTTTGGACTCTTTCTGCACAGAAAAGGGGGACAATGAACCCCACCTGCATAGAGGCATTACAGCAATGATACTGTGGATTTCTATGG